AGAGTCTCACGGACTTTCCTGCCTGGGGCTGGTTTTGAACTGGGATCCTCAGATCTCAGCCTCCTGAGTAGCTAGGATTACAGGCGTGAGCCACCAGCACCTGGCCAGGAGTGCTTTTAAAATCGACTATACTGTTTCTAAGCAAACTTGGCTGTGAAATGGGTTTGTTTTGTGAGTGTGTGTCTCCATCTGAAAGGTTGCTTTCATTTCCAGCCTCTGTCTGGGTTCCTTGGGGCCAGGGGCTGTTTCCACCCACTCCACTCCACAAATGACTGTAGTGTATGTCTTCACATACATCCCCACACACACACCCTGGAAAGAGTAAGTTTTCCAATCATTGAAACCTGTGAAGAACAGTCAGGTGATAAGATGGGGGAAGGGTGGTCCTTTTCACTGGAAAAGGGAGATGCTACAGCCTGGTATTCCTGTGTTACTGCTTTGAGATTTGGCAAACCAACCATTTGGCAAATGAACCTGTAAACTCAGTTCCACAGAGCACTTTCTCATGTCCAAAGTTGGGGTTTTCTCTCTGAGAATGTTACTCTATAAATAGAGCCTCAGCACACTGTGTTGGCTCCAAGTGTTTATGATAACAAGTTAAAAGCGTGCACACACAGCCCTATCTGTCCTGTCCTGGTGTTTCCTCAAAGGAGTCAGAAGGAGAAAGCCTGATTATAAAAGGCCACCACCAACTTGCCGGGTATAACGAGAAGTCCCGGTGTGACACGGTAGGTCATGGTGCTTCCTGGATAGGGAGGGCTGGGGCAGTGCTGGCTGCAGGAGAAGAGGGCAGGGGGAGGAAGTCACTGCAGGGAAATACTCTGAGCCTAGGGTCCCAGGGTAGTGCTGAGACTCCAATCCCCTAAACCTTGGGAGACCTCAGTCTTCAGGTTCCCGCCCCAAAGGTAAGGTCTTGTGTGGCTCAGGCCACAGAGCCTCTGTTTTCTCAGCCTCCTGGACATTCTCCAGGTGCCTGGCCTGTCTGAGTTCTGCCCCTGCCAAGCTTGCACCTGTGCCTGTGGTTGTTCAGTATGTGTGTCTATCTTCATCCATACAGATGCTGCCCTTCTGTACCATCGGCCTCCTCCTGCTGGCCACCACCAGAGGTGAGGATGCTGTCATCACCCCTCTGGGGAGAAAGTGATGGTGTGGGCTGGATGTCATGGAGATGCCAAGATGAATCAATAGCATCTCTGTGTCAGGTAGTTGGCAACTAGTTGGTATTTGATGATGTTTGTGAGAACTGGAGCTCTCTGCACCATCCGATTCCAGCAGCAGGTGGCAGAACAGCAATGCCCAAACTTGCCTAGTGATAAGGGCTCTTATGAAGACACAGATCCTCTGAAATCACAGATGCTCTGGGGAGGGGCCTGGGAGTACATGTATAGAATAGCCATCTTTAGCCTCTGATGATAATTCTTTTTTTTAATTTAATTTTATTTTATTTGTGAACATACTATACAGAGGGGTTACAATTGCATGGGCAGGATAATGCGTACATTTCTTACCAAGCATTGCAGCCTCCTCCTTTGTTTACCCTTCCCATCCCTTCCCAGCCTCCCCCCCCCCCCCCCCCCCCCTCTTTCTCCTTTCCCCCTCCCCCCCACTCCCACCCCCCCCCCACCGACGTTGTAAAGCTCGTTTTGGACATGACAACTTGTACTTCTCATTGTTGCACTCTGATGATAATTCTTATCACCACAGAAAGATGGGCAAATGGGGGGCACCTTGGCCAGTCCTGTCTCCATCCTGAACAGTCTCTCTGCATGGAGATGACATTATTCCACTCCAGAACCTCACATGGGTCCTGTTTGTGTTTTTGTCTGTCCCAGGAAAAGAAACCTGCCTTGAACGTCTTGGCCCTTTTTCTGTTGACAAACTATGCCCACTGATTATTGAAACCCATTTGTCGAAGAAACGTCCCTTCTGTCCTGAGCGTATTGATACCCAGTTTTTCCTGTACACAAACGAAAATCCGGACAAACATGAAGTAAGAGCAAGCTTGGATTGACTGTATGGTGGGAAGGTTTGGGCCCACACTAGAGCCATCACTTGGCTGCCTAGGTCATAATTCAAAGCTTTGGAACTTTTTCCCCGTTAAACCTGAGTATCTAAAGACATTTGTGGATGCCAACCCAGAAACAAACATCTGATGTTTTGATCCTCAGGACCACCCCAGCATTGGGCAAGCTAAAAGGGAGGGAGAGTAGCATTCATGAAAAAGCCCAGGCGTATCTCTGAGGAGTCCTGTCTCTTTCTTTACTAGGCAGTGGTTGAAGGTCAAGCCCCTTGACTCAGATTGAGGTTGATGAGGCATATAGCTTCCTGAGGAGCTAGATGAGAGACAGAGGAGAGGGCTGGTGAGCCAGAAAAGAAATAAAGGGGGAGGGCAGTCCCTTGGAGCAACTTTCAAAGTGAAAGCCAGCCAGGAGAAGCAGGGAAAGCTTGTTCCTGGTGGTCAGAAGTGACTGGGCTATGGCTTCCAGGACACAGTTTTGAACAATTCAGGCAGCTCAAGCTGTAGTCCCTGACAGAGTCCCTAAGTAACCTAGTGTGGGACGATCCTATGTGACAAACCTACTTCTGATGTAGCATCCTAAAGTCTGCAGGAACATAGTTGTTGTGTGACCGTTGGACATTGTGTCCTGATGCTTGGTGGAAGGGTACTGAACAGACATGTGGAGGTGAAGTCCCTTAAACTTTCAGGGCTCCTCAGCTCCATCTCCCTTCAATCTACTACTTTTGCCCAAGGGTTCTCCACCATCCCCATGCTGGAGACCTCTTTAGCCTCCTGAGGAAGTCTAAGGGTCCCTTCTCAGGACAATATTGCCAAGTGCATAAATGGTAGAAATCAATTGCATTGGACAAGCTATCCGAATGTTAAAATATCTCTAAATATGAGACACATTTATATGTGCTGCTTTATCATCCCACTGAATAGCAAGATCTAAGAGTTGATCAAATAACTATCCTAAATTAAAATACTAATAGCATAAATGACACTTGGAGATTTTTTTTCACCAACTAGAATGTGACATGCAATGTTTCCGATTTCAACTTACAGGTGTTGCTAATTGTATTGTTTCAGGTTAAAGAAATTCTAGACTTTACTTAGAGGTTCATGAACATAGTCAACTTCTTTCTGAATTCTTTGTGACTTCAGGTCAGGAACTGTGTCCTGTGTGACTCAGTTTTTTAACACTGAACTTAGAAGTGGCTCTAACAGGTTCGCAACTTAGAAAGGCCAACATTAAATTCAATTTCTGTAATTTAACCAGCTGATCACTAGCACTGATGCAACCACCATAGAGGCCTCAAAGTTCCAATTCAACCGCATGACACGCTTCATCATCCACGGCTTCTTAGACAAGGGAGGGAAGAAGTGGCTGTCAGACATGTGCAAGGTAGGTGTCCCCTTCACCTAGCCACTTCTGGAGGCGATCAGCTCCTGGCTAGTTCCAATACCAGGTTCAAACACCCCGAGACCAGGAAAGGAAATACTCCAGGGAGAGAGTAAAACCACCAAAGCAAGCCTGCCCATCAATGACATCCCTTGCAAATACTCCTTACCAACCAATCTCCCAGCCATCCATCTCCTTCTAGGCTGAAGAGACCCAGAGTTCAGTCAGCAAGACTCAGAGGTGGAGACTCCACACTGTCTGGATAGTGGTGTTGCTGATGGATGATATAAAACCCCTCTGGGTCATTTTAAAAAAGAATTTTATCACCGTCCCATAGAGTGCTCTCAATGACAGAAATGTCCCATATCTGTGCTGTCCAATCAGAAGCCACCACATGTGATTAGTGAGCCCCTGAAATGCCACTAGTGCAACTGTGAGGAACTGAATTTGAAAATTTTGGGAACAGGAGTCAGTCTGCTCTCACTCGTTCTTGTAAGTGACTCTGTGTGTGTGTGTGTGTGTGTGTGTGTGTGTGTGTGTGTGTGTGTGTGCACGCTTCTGCTGGTACTGGGACTTGACCTGGGCACTGTCACATCTCCACGTCTGGCTTTTTGGTGGCTCATTACAGTTAAGAGTCTTTCCTCTGCTTTGGCTAACTTCCACCATGGTCCCCGATCTCATCCTCCTAAGTAGCTAGGATTGTAGGTGTGAGCCACCTAGCTGTTAAGTGACCTTTTTGACCTGGTCATGTCATTAACCACGTGTGAGACCTGAGGCCAGGCCTCCGTTTCCTCGTGTATACAGTAGAATGAGAACACCCAGCTCACAGTGACTGGCTGAGGATCCAGTTACCAGGGTCAGGGGAACACTAACCCTCACACACTAACCAGGGGTTTGATGGCCAGCCTGTCCCTGGGGTGTGCCACTTGGGACCTCCTCCTGGAATTGATTGGTTTTTCCGTCTCCCTGCTTCATCTTCCTTTAGAACATGTTTAAGGTGGAGCAGGTGAACTGCATCTGTGTGGACTGGAGGCGTGGGTCTCAGATTCCGTCTTACCCCCAAGCGGTATACAACACTCAGGTGGTGGGCGCCGAGATCGCTCTTCTAGTCCAAGTGCTGGTAAACCAACCCTGCCTGGGCCACATCTGGGGGAGGCAGGGGGGTGCCACCTTGCGCTCAGAGACCCGGAGGCAGGGGGGCCGGGTGGGCGGGGCTGCGGGTCAAGTCGCTCAGGCTCTTATAAACCCCGGATGAAGCTTCAACCTTCCTTCATTTCCAATCTTAGGGTATGGGGCACACTGGCCTCAAGCCTCAGTTTCCCTTTGGAAAGAAGCCCTTCCTTGCAAGGCTGGTCTGGGGATTAAGAGTAGTTCTCACTGCAAGAGAGGGCTTCATCCTCTCTCAGCCCGGGGGGAGACTGTCCACCCCTCTTTCCCCACGGTGGGTTTGGCACAGCCAGTGCCTAGGACCTGCGACCTCCCAAACAGTTCCCTCCCCACCCCTACGCGCATGCGCGGCCGGCCCGGCGCCCTGCAGTTGATCCAGGCGGCCACTGGTCAGCACTGTTGCCCCGTGCAAGAGTCCGGAGGCCCGCAGCCCCGCCCGCCCTCTCGGGGCCTGAGACTCCAGCCTCCCTCGGCCCAGACGCGCCCTCTCTCCGCAGACCGGTATGGGGTACAACCCGGAGGACGTTCACCTCATCGGCCACAGCCTGGGAGCGCACGTGGCGGCCGAGGCAGGCAAGAGGCTGAATGGCAGCCTGGGCAGGATCACAGGTAAGGTTCACCCTGCTTCCAAGGCCTAGGGTCCTGAAGGTGGACGCCTAGACGCATGCGCATCCCGGCGCTGATTTTTAGGTGATGCCCGGACTTGCAGTTATAATTGTCTGTGTATCTTAAGTTGCCCTAGAAAATAGACAATCATAAACCACATCATTCATAAAGCAAGAAAGATACAACTATCACATTAAACCTGACTTCGGGTTATTACTAGTAGAATATGGCAATGTTAACCAAAAAAAAGTCTAAGTGAATGTTTTCGCTCTCTTAGTCACAAGCAAAAACTGAAAATGACTGAGATCTGCCACCTAAGAAGAGCTCAGGGAAAACTGACTGAATGAATGAATCACTAGACAGACTGAATCATGAAAAACATATTCATAACTGTCCACCTGTGGCCACATCAATATGTAACTTTGGCAACATTTGTTTTAAGGTTCAAGGAGTGGCCCCTTGCTGGAGGCTCTGGGGAGAGGGGTGGTGGAGGGAGGAATAATGGGGTAACATACTGTTCACAGTGGTGCAGCGATCCTCCCATGAGGTTTTCACAACAGTCCTGTAAGAGACATGACCTTACTCCCACTTTCTGGATGAAGAGAGATATTTAACCTTGCCAAGCCCAGGTGAGAATATGAGTCATTAGCATGTGGGCCACACTCCTCAGCCCTGCTCCTCTGTGAAGATACATGGGGCATAGCCAAACTTAAGGAAAGACACTGTCTACTCCAGGAAGCAGAAAATGAAGCAGGCAAACAAATATCAAAGTAGGTTCAGTAAGTGCCAAATAATACAGTGGCTAGGATGGGCTGACAAGGGAGAAATTAAATTCCCTATGAGGAGGTAGCCTGGGAGGTGCAGGGCGGGGGAGGGGGGGATAAAAGCTGAAAGAAAGACACTGTGAGAAAAGACACAAAGGCCAAGAACGTCTAGCCTCTAAGAACAGTGCCCAGATGATAACATGGGTGCAGATGGTTAGACAGGCGAAAGAAAATGAGATGCAAGGACTCCACCCAGATCCTTCATGGAGAGTAAGATATTAGCAATTCCAAATGCTCCTTATCTTTAACAGCCAGTACCCTCCTTCCCAGCCATTCTTTCCTGGCCTCTTCTTTCCCAAGCAGATACCATTTGCAGAACCACAGTCACTATGCTATAAGGTCCTTAGCCAAGAAATCCTTGCATTCCATCTGGGAGTGTAAAACTTGCACCTGGGACCCAAGGTACAACTGGTCTACCTCTTCCTTTTCAGGGCTGGATCCAGCAGAGCCATGTTTTAAGGACACACCTGAGGAGGTTCGACTGGACCCATCAGATGCCATGTTTGTGGATGTGATTCACACAGATATTACTGGTACTTGTGAGTTCCTCGGTCCCACCTCCTAGCAACCAAGGCTATGACTTGGGTCCAGGTAGTCCAACCCCTATCACACTTGTAAACTGCAGAGGGGCTACTCAAAATGGTTGACTACTGGAATGGCTTGGCTACTAGCCAATGGAAATGTAACAGTCAATATAATGCTGGTGGTCTCAGCCTGGGGACCCCTTACTAGTCTGCAGAGGTGATCATTCTCAGGGTACAACTGGTCTACCTCTTCCTTTTCAGGGTTAGGGTGGGATCGATCAGCTATTGAGATCATACCTGAGGAGGTTCAACTGGACGCACCTGATGCCAGATCCTTCCTAATGAGTGAGTTTCTCAGTCCCACCTCCTAGTGACCAAGGCTATGACTAATGGCCTTGGTGGTCCCACCTCATCACACACATAAACTGCGGAGAGGCTCAAAATGTTGACTACCGGAATGGTTTGGCAACCAGCTAGTGTAAATGTAACAGTCAATATAATGCTGGTGGTCTCAGCCTGGGGCCCCTTCTACATTGGTGATCAATTAGTCTTCAATCCTGCATTTTTTTTCCCTAGTCTACCAAGATCCGAACTGGTAAGTTCATTATTTGAACTACATTTAAGATTTCAATGTACGTTTTGAAGGATGTTTTTTATTTTGTTTTGTCATAGCTTTGTTGACAACTTGCCATGTGGTAGACTAAATATATCCATCATTTAATTCTTGTAAAGTTGATGTTCTTTCAGTATCTTCTTATATACCACTCGAGAGACTTGCCAATTAGAGGGCATGTTTTTCATAATAATAATGGATAATGATATCTTATCAAGTTTTTACCATGCACTAAATATATTTTAACTCATTGGAATACCCTAATACAATAGATATCACTTTCACATCTGAGGAACTAACAGTACGGTTAAAGAGTTGCTCAAAATCACAAAGAGATCTTTGTTAGTAGATTGAAGATCTGATAACAGATCCACGTGCTTCAACAAACAAAGCTCCAAGTTGTGACACTGTGCCTCTTCCTAGGGCAATAAAATGCTGTGTGATCTCACTATAACAATATTGAATAGACACTAACCTTTTTAAATGAGTAAAATAATAAAATTGAACCTTACCCATGCCTGCTTATGGTATCTGGTCATATTGGTACTACCCAGAGCCTCTTCAAGACAGACAGATGTATGCACTCCCTGTGCCCTGCCTCCCTCATTGTCCTGCCAGGCTCCAATCTCTGAGAACTTTCTACATAGATAGAGGTTGTGGTGGCTGGGCTAAGGGACAAATTTGCCAAGCAGACACTCTTGTTAGAATGAGTCGGACATTCACTGTATCCAGCATCTAACTTTGAGACTACTGACCTTCTGCTTATCTCTGCTTCAAATGTTTCAGATTTTGGAATGAAGCAAAAACTGGGCCATCTGGATTTTTTTCCAAATGGAGGAGTGAATATGCCAGGATGTAAGAAATGGCCCATTTTAAGCTTCATGGACCTAAATCAAATATGGGAAGGTATGGAAATGGATGAAACAAAGCACTGACTGCTTGTGTTTGAAGTGAAAGCAGAATGTATGGTTCTGGCTACCATTTATAGAGTACTTGTTCCACACCAGCTATTTTCATACCAGTGCTGTGAGATACTTCTTTTAGCTAGTGCCATTTTAGAGATACAAAAACTGAGAATCAGAAAAGCTACATCACTGGTCTAAGGCTGCTCTGGCTGAGGCCCTGTGTAAGGCCCTGGCCTCATGCCCCAGCCTATGTGCTGTCTCCTCCTACTGTCAGGATGGCGCTAAATGGAAGCCCTGGCAAATGCCCAGTTATGACTTTGGCCACCCCACCTGCTCCTTGAACAACCACACAGTGGAGTCTTTGACTTCTTTGCTGCTTCTGGTGTGAGTCCTACCTAGTCTTGGAAGGACACTGAGCTGATACGAAGGCAGAGGAGAGGTATGCTCTGGGGGTTGTAGCTGGGGTGGTAGGGAACCAGGGAAGCCCTGGAGGTCTGAGGGCCCAGAGTGTCTCCTGGTGAGGTATGTGTATCTTTCTATTCATTTAGAGAGAAGGATTTATACCCTAGACATTAGTGACCTCCCAGTCATTCCCTGTCTGGCCTTTGGTTATTCTTCTTGTCCTTACCCTGATACCAGGCCTCACTGGTCAGTAATCATTTGTACGTGTGTGTGTGTGTGTGTGTGTGTGTGTGTGTGTACTAGTTCTGTGGCTTGAACTAAGGGCATTCTACCATTTGAGCCACAGCTCCACTTCTAGCTTTTTATTTTTTGGTCAGTTGTGGGACCTGAACTCTGGGCCTGGGCACTGTTCCTCAGCCCTTCAACTCAAGGCTAGCGCTCTACCACTTGAGCCATAGCACCACTTTCAGCTTTTTGTGCTTATGTTGTGCTAAGGAATTGAACCCAGGGCCTCATGCATGCAAGGCAAGTACTCTACCACTAAGCCATCTTCCCAGCCCCACTGCTAGTTTTTTGGTGGTTAGTTAGAGATAAGGGTCTCTTGGATTTGTCTGCCCAGGCTAGCTTCAAACCAGAATCCTCAAATCTCAGCCTCCTGAGTAGGTAGGAATACAGGTGTGAGCCATTGACAACTGGAAGTCATTTTATCTGTCATTATCTTTCTGAATTAGAAGTTTCCCATAGCTGAGGACTATGTGAGTACTCTGCTCAGGGCCTGGCCTACAGCAGGTACTAAGTATACTTTGTTGCTTGTGATATTTCATGTGCTTGGTGTCAGCAAGCGGAGTAGATAAAGTTCCATCCAGTGTCTACAGTCAAATAAACAGCCTTGGACCTCTTGTCCTCGCACTAGCAACCTCCTGGAAGGACATGACCATTGTGCTCAGCCTGAAGGAGCCCAGAATCTCAATAATAACTGCTCCCTCCCCAAAACGGTGAGCCAGACACACATAATAGGAACAGATCCAAATTTAATTAAAGAAGCAATTTAGAGTGAACAGGCCCATAAGTGCTGAAGTGGATTCCTATTGTGTCAAGTTCCAGTCACTCAGGCCCTGGGGCCTGGGGACAATTAAATCCACTTTCTCTTCTGTTATGGAGTCCCTGGGCAGCAATTTTGGATGAAAGAAACAATTAAGTGTAAAACAAGTTCTGTTGTCTTATGACAAGCACTAGTATGGGCATTCGGAAGCCAGCTGGCTTGGTTGGAGGGCACTAGGCTATGGACCCAGCAGAACTATGAGCTGGGAGAGAGAATCCATGCTGACCAGAAAGGAGAACCTTCTTTTCTCAAGAGGAGGTATATAAGGCCTGCCTGCCGGTTCCCCCACAACTGGTCCCCAGGAGTGTCCCCAGTCACTGTGGACTATTCCATGTCAAGCTTTGTACCAAGTAGCTCAGGAAATGGGGTGGCAGGGAGAAGATCACTGGTTTAAAGCAAAAGGTGGTAAATAAAATGCAACGAAAAGAGTAGCCAGAGATGCTTTATGCTCAGCATAGTAAAGAGGAGGGATTGCTTAGCCTGAGCAGTAAAATCCAGAAATGACTGGCTCAGGGGTTGTATGTCTGGCCCTATGAGCACGGACTTGTCACTCCCCAGTTGTTTCCCAGCTCTGAGTTTCCTTCTCAGAAAATGCCCCATGTTGGGTACCACACTCACCCATGAAGTGTGGAAGTGATTCCCCACTCTGTCCGGTGGTTCCCACTTTAGGGGTGAAAGGCCGCCTCCACTTCCCATGGTCTTTGCTTTCCCAGGATTAGATGACTTAGCAGCTTGCAACCACCTACGAAGCTACAAGTATTACGCCAGCAGTATCCTCAACCCCGATGACTTCCTGGGCTACCCCTGCACCTCATACAATGAGTTCAAAAAGGTAGGTCACACAGGCCCCTGAAGCTGTCATGCTTTATCCCTGTGGCTTAGAATAGAACAAAGAGATGCATGTGGCTTCAGGAACTAGTGGTGGCCTTGGAGATGCTGAGATTTCCAGAGGTTTCTTCCTGGAGAGTAGAGAGACCAGAGGGTGTGGGGGGACCCTACAGAGCTAGCTGTGCTAGCCCTCTTCTCAGGTCTCCAGCTTTTTCATTAATGTTCATTGTCCTAATATACAGAGACTGAAAGAAGAGCGCGTGAATTCTGTTTCCACTTATCAGTGGGTGCTTACAAACACCGGTTGTGAGCATTTCATATAGGTTGCCTGCATGTGTATGCTGTTCCTAAATTCTGCAAAAGTAAAAATGTTGGGACACTTTACTCATAAATACTTCAACATTAATCTCCTAAGAATAAGACTATTCTTCAATAGAAGAGCATTCAAGAAATTTAGCTTTGGTATATCCTCGTTGTTGTTGTTGTGGAACTGGGGGTTGAACTCAGGGCCTCAAACTTTCTAGGCAGGAGCTCTAGTTCTTTCTTGAGCTGGCTGTTTCTGATATAAGGTCTCACTTCCTGCCTGGATAGCTACCCTCCTATTTTCTTACTTTTCATCAAAGCTGGGTGACAGACACGCACTACCACAGCGAGCTTCTTCTATGAGATGTAGTCTCCTGGACCTTTCTCCTCCAACTGGCCTGGAACTACAGTCTTCCAATCTCAGCCTCCCATTACCTAGGCATACAGGTGTGAGCCACCAGTGCCCTGCTGATGCACTAATATTTTCTAATACATAGTCTGTATTCAGCATCTCCAATCATCCAAATACTATCTAAAACTGTATCTGACTGCCAGCTGTCATGCATTCTTCCCTCCCTCCATCCCTTCCTCCCTTCCTTCCTGCCTTCCTTCCTTTTTCCTTTCTTTTTTCCTCTCTCTTTTCCTTGTACTGCATTTAATGTCTTGTCTCTTCAATCTCAATAACTCTGGAAGTGTTTTCTATTTGTTCTTGGTCTTACAGGACATAGATACTTATGAGAATTCCAAGTCAGGTATTTGGTGAAATTAGTCTTTATGAACCAATAGGTGATGTTAAGTGCTTCTCAGTGTATCATTTAATAGCATATTGTCCATTATTTGATAACATAAATTTTGGTTCCTGAGCCAGATGTGTGTTATATAAAAAGAACTTTGTTCCCCTGTAGGTTATATAGGTAATATTGTTTTTCAGCATTAAGCTTAGTAAAAGGTTGCTTTTCTACTGATGATCTTAACTGCACTGGAGTTGGTAAAACTCTGATATTTCAAATATTTTTTTCTCAAAGACATAGCTCAGGTAGTAGAGCCTTAGCCAATGAGTGAAAGCAACTTTCAGTGCTGGTCAGATAAAAAGTTTGAGTGCTGGTCTCAAGTAAGGAAAAAAGGAGGAAGGAAGGAAGGAAAGAAGGAAGGAAAAAAGGAAAAGAGGGAGGGATGGAGGAAGAAAGGAAGGAAGGAAGGAAGAAGGGAAGGAGGGAGGGAGGGAGGAGAAAGAAAAAGAAGAAAAAAGAGAAAAAGAAAGAGAGATGGTGGGAAGGACCTCATCTGTGATCCCCAACATCTCTGAGTAGCGTTGGCTGCTGTTGGAACTGAGCCGTGATGTGGTCTCCAACACCCTGGTGCTTCACAAATCACAAAATAGTTCTGTGTGCCATGTGTTTTGGAGGTAGTATAAGGTCAGAAAAGAGGGTAGTGCCATTGTGTTATAAAGCTCTCACCTGAATTGAACACCACTTAATGAATTACCATTAAGGGCATACTTGCTGGGACCAAGTAGAGAAATAGCTGACATTAAAATGGGGCTGAGCATGGATCTTCCTTTCCTCTCTTCTTTTGAAGTGAATTGCTATCTTTCCTATTTACTTCTACCTCATTACATTGCCTGTGTTCCCCTTTCATCTTTTCATTTTAGTATTTCCCTCCTATAATCTGTGTATCCAACATAATTTGTTGTAGACTGTGTGGAGCCTACAAAGTTCCATCCCCTGTTGTGAGGCTGGACTGTGGGCCCATTAACAAATAGGTAGGGATAAGCAGGCATGCATAGTAGAATGGATAGGAGATTAGAATATGGATGAGACATGGATGAGTGGATACATGCATATACATACATGATACATACATACATACTTATATACATGCATACAAATACATAGATGACAGGTATATAGATAAAGAGAGACAGAGACAGCAAGAGATCAGTAACTTTGACTGAGGTAAAGACCTATTACTAAGGTTGTTTTTTCCCACTAGAATGGCTGTTTCCCTTGTCCAACCAAAGGATGCCCTAGAATGGGACACTATGCTGACCAATTTGATGCCAAGACTGCTGCTGTGCATCAGACCTTTTATCTGAACACAGGCGATCGTAATGACTTTACTAGTAAGTTTCTGTTTTACTTAAAAAAATCTTGCAAGTGATTTTTGGAGAGTAGGAACCTTACTAGTCCAGCGCTTTGGTAGTATTTGACAAAAACTCAAGTCCAATCAACTTTCACTGTAATGTAAGGAGAGCAGCATGGTACTTGCCTGGGCTCTTATGTTTACCTTGAAAATCCTGATGAACAGCATAGCGGAAGGACAGTGGGCTGGGTATGTGTGCACTCGCGTAAGGTAGAGGGGTTGCAGCTATTAATAGATGAGAAGGCAGCTGAGGCAATGTCATTGTAAGACATGAAGTCAACAAATGATGAGCATCTGTGACACTAGGCTTCCAGCCTGCGTGCACGACACACACACACACACACACACACACACACACACACACACACACTTACTGTGGTTATTATTGCCCAGTTTCTCATTTTAAAAATACAAAACAGGAAATAAGAAGACTATTATTTATGACCAGCCTAGGCAAAATTTAGCAAGACCATCGCTCAAAAACAAGCCTCTGACAATGTCCAAATCACAAAGTAGCCTTTCCCATCATGCATTTTGGATGTGGGATGAGGTCAAGGAGCTATCTGACTTTCCAAGAGTGGTTTAAGTTTTCAAAAATAATTTTTAAGAACAAAATTTTTTAATCATTTAAATTTTTAAAAATAATCTCATTTTAAAAATATAGTTTAAAATATTTATTTAAAAATATTTTGCAAACCAGGTGCTGGTGGCACATGCCTGTAATCCTAGCTACTCAGAAGGATCTGAGGATCATAGTTTGAAGACAGTCTAGGCAAAGTCTGTGGAGACTCTTGTCTCCAATTAAACATACACACACAGACACAGACATAGACACAGACACACACACACACACACACACACACACACACACACACCAGAATTGAGCTACAGCTCAAGTGTTAGAGAGCTAGCCTTAAACAAAAAGCTCAGAAATAATGCCTAGGCCCTGAGTTTTCTTACATACATTCTTTTAACCCAGACACCCTTGCTTCTCAGAATATTCCATGCATGTGTACATAGCAGTTGCTCTATGATACTCACTTGTAGCATTATAGCAAAAGGCTGAGGAGAAAATCTCAATGCCCACCATCTGGAAATTAACCAACCTATGCTATAGGTTAAGTGCTATGTTATAACCACTGAAATAGGCAGAAACTATAGTTCTATGTAAGGAAGAGAAAGCCTCTTTAGAGCAAATCAAGTGGCAAGGCAAGTGACTAAGACTTGTGTCCTGGTCCGTTCAGGCTATGACCATATACCCTAGACTGGATGACATAAACAACAGTGTTTATTTCCTCCTAGTTCTGGAGGCCTAGAATCTGAGGTAAGCATGTCAGAATGGTCAGTTTCTGGTAAATACTGCTGTCTTCTTGTTATCTTCTTCTTCAGCATGCAGGGCAGGGCAAGAGAGACCTTTGGGCTCCCTTTTATATGGGTACTAATCTCATCCACGATGGTGACCTAGTTGTGTTGCAAAGTTTCCTCTCCCTACTATTATCCCATTGGTAGGATTTCAGCATATGGGTTTGGAGGGACCCAGGAGTCCTTTGCCTCATGTGTTCATAAGAGGGATGTGTATAGTGCCAGGCTGCCCTTCATCATTGGAACATTGGGCTGAACCATAGCGTCTCCTGTCCTCTAAATGTCTTCATCTCAACCCAGGATCTCCAAGTCCATGGAAGGAAACCCATTAGTCAGATGTCTCCAATCTCATGGGGCATTTAGAGCTCAGTAAAACAGTGTCTCCATTGGGGTCATTTTGTTCAGCAAGGTAAGATCATTGAGCTGGTTGTATTTTCTTTGGACAGGTTGGAGATATAAAATATCTGTTATACTGTCTGGGCAAAAGCAACTGAGAGGACAAATCAATATTATTTTGCATGGAAACAATGAACAGTCAAGACCACATGAAATTTTCAGGTAAACTCAATAGTAAGGTAAAGTGTCAGGAGTATAAATTGCTGTATAAATCTAAATATCTACTCCTGAGGACCACTGAATTCTGGAATGTCAGAAAGAAAAAAGGAAGGAGGGAAGCGGGAGGGAAGAAGGAAGTTAGTTTTCACATTTCACATTCCATTGCCACATTTCACAAACGAGAACTGGGCCTCAGAATGGGGAATTTGGTATTTAAAATGATTCATGTACTGACTCCGTGTTGATTTTCATTCACATGACTTAGTTTTTTCTCCTTTGATGAGGACATCTCTAGGACAACTCCTTTACCAGCGCGTACCCCATCCACACACCCAGCACATGACATCCTGGGGCCACCTGTCCATTGCACTGTTAACCTCAACCTTTGGCTTGTGCTGGATGTGTGAGGAGCTTGGCCAATAGTGTGCTGGATGGCTAACGTATGTGGTAGAATTCGATTTTATACTTGCCCTGACTTTAATGCCTTGGCACGTTGAGTTAAAAATTTTTGACATTTGATATGGTAACTCGTGGTATCTACAGAATCACAAGCATCTTTAAATAAAAGATACTATATCAGTTGGTCCATTAGCAAACAGAGCACATGTGCATATCAAGTATCTCTAGGAGCAACTAACAGAGATTGGAAGTATCTTCTGCAAAAAAAAAATACATTTGTTTTGGGGCAACCTCTGGATGTGTATAGAGCCACTCCAGGGGTTGGCAGAGCGCCAACATCAGCCAGTCCTTGGAGATACAATATATTTCTATCATCCTGTATATTGATATAATCAACTGATAGGATATTTTCTGTCTATATTTTCAGTGGATCCCTCAGCCCAAATGCAAGGCACATGAATATCATTGATGAGGACAAAAATATTGGAGAAATCCTAAAGGTTTTTTTCCTCTGGAAAAATGGGCCAATGCCCTCCCGAACCCATCTAGGGGCTTCTCAAGTCACCGTGGAAAGCGGAGATAGGACTGAGTATGTATCTTTCGTCCCATCTGATGATGTGTATTTATGTGTCTGTCCATGCACCATCCATCCATCTGCCCAGTCCTCAATCGTTTTCTGTACCTCTGCTTCTCCACTTCCCCATCTGTCTAGACATCTACCTCCTCATCCTGCTCATCCAGCCATCCTTTACTTTCCTGTCTATCCATCATCAGTCTTCCCAAATACTTGTCTCAACTCTGTCACATCATCTGACTTACTTTGAAAAATCAAGTATCATTTTTCTTATGCAATAGTCACCTTAACTGGAGCAAAGCATCAGTTATACTGCACAGATCCAAGAAATTGGTAGATATGGTATATGGTTTCCTCTCGAAATCTATGGAGACCATGGAGGTGCTGCTAGATTCAGTTTATAAGTGATTCTCAATTTAATTTCGATTTTTCTTTGGAAACTGTGGCAGAGATGTAGCTTATATTGGGAGTTTGGCTCACAATGGAAAACTCTTCTCATTCTGAAGAAGAGAATGGTCCGTGGTAGGAGTTGGAAAGCAACACAACTGCTTTCAACATACAGCACCTCAAAAGGAGATATTCAGAAAGCAATGGGATCTTGCCTCTTATGGCTTGAAGATTACCTCAACCTGGAGGGAATTCTGCTGTCACCTCTCAACTGCTCTCATTTTAGAATGAGAAACGTGAGATTTGGAGGGCCAGGCAACTTGTCTGAGACCACATAGGCAAGCTAGAGGGAAAATCATGGATTGCAAATCTCTGCAGAACACACACACACACACACACACACACACACACACACACACACACACACACCAGGCCCTTGTTCAGATGCAAGACTAGTGTTAATTGATAACTGCAAAATCCTGATTCCTCTGCAATGTCAGAAGGATCAGATGTGATAGCTGGTGTGCTGTTGCTTTGAATACTCAAAGCAAAGACCAGGAGCCAGGTCCTTTGATGCCCAGTCTAGTGTTCTACTTACTCACTGTGCCTTGAGGCTCACTTAGCCAGATGGTAGCTGAGGAGTCATGATGTCTGGAAATGCAGGGCATTATGGGTGAGGAGTCACAATGTCTGGCAATGCAGTATATCATGAGATGTCTGGAACTCACAAGACATACAGACCTCATGCTATATATCTCCAACACCGAAGTCCTTCCTTCATGTAAGGGTTCTTTTACCAAAGAGTTACATCCCAAGGGACGACTTGCTCATACTATTCTCCATTAGCCAGCGATGTCTGCAAGTGAAAGTATCTTGCCTCTTATGGCTTGAAGATTACCTCAACCTGGCATACCCTTAAAAATGACAGCTTCCTAGAATTTAAAAAAATATTACTGATCTATATTATTCCTATACCATACAACTCACCCACATCAAGTGTGCTGTTTTTTAATGTATTCAGAATTATGTAATAATCACTGATTGATTTTTAAAAAGAAACCCAAGATCCTTTAATCATCATCCCTCAATCTACGCATCCTTATCTGTGAGACCTAGACATTCACTAAGCTACTTTGTTTCTCTCTAGATTTTCCTAGTTTGGACATTTCACATAAAGGGAAGTCATAAGCTATGTGGTCTTTTGTGACTGGCTTCTTTTGTTTAACACTCTTTTCAAGTTTCTCCGAGGAGCATGTAACAGTACTTCATTGTTTCCATTGTTCAGTAATAGACCATTACATGCAAGTAGCATATTTTGTTTGCCCATTTATCAGTTGACTGAGATCGGTCATGGGGCTTGAACTCTGGGCTTGGGCACTGTTCTTCAGCTCAAGGCGAGTGCTCTACCACTTGAGCTACAGTGCCACTTCCTATTTTCTAGTGGTTTATTGGAGATAAGAGTCTCACGGACTTTCCTGCCCGGGCTGGCTTTGAACCATGATCCTCAGATCTCAGCCTCCTGAGTAGCTAGGATTGCAGGCGTGAGCCACCAGTGCCCGGCTTTGAAACTATTTTGAATAATATTGCCATGTACATTTGTATTCAAGTGTCTGTGTGGGCCTTTGTTTTTATTCTCTTGGGTGTATACTAAGGCATAGAATTGCTGCATCATATATAACACTGTTGAACCTTTATTTTGACTTTTCTGTGGATACTATAGCTTAAACTCATCGCTAGGTGCTCTCCCTGAGCTTTTTTGCTCAAGGCTGGCACTCAACCACTTTAGCTGCACCTTCATTTTTAGTTTTTGCTGGTTAATTGGAGATATGAATCTCATTAAGACTTTACTGACTGGACAGACTGAGATCTCAGATCTCAGCTCCCTTAGTAGCTATGATTACTGAAGTAGGCTACCAGCACCTAGCTTTGTTTAACCTTTAGAACTGTCAGATCATTTCCAAAGTGGCTGTCACATTTTACATTCCCAGAAGTGTATGAGGGGCCCTCTGTCATCTTGATTCAACAGAGATTACGCTTTCTGGATCAGCAGCTGGGCCACTGCTGAAGCTTGGAATCAATGGGTAGGCCAAAGCAGTAGCCCCACAAGAGTCCCTGAGTTCCAAGCTTTGCTTGTCTGCAGCTGGTTCATTTTTGGTGCATTCAGAGCCCATGGAGGGTGCTGTCCAGAAAGTTTTCCTAGAATCACTTGGACCTGTCAGTAGTTACTAAAATACTGTTGACTCATTAGCAATCATGTTTCCCTCAGCAAATGGGTCTCATGCTGGAACTATTTTCTTCCACAGGTATAATTTTTGCAGTACAGAGACGGTGCCTGCAAATACCTTACAGCCTCTTCTCCCTTGTTAAAAGCCTGGGACAGCACTTGTCTCTATGGTAATAAAATGTTTTACTGCACTTGGGCTGTGGTTATGGCAGCTTGGTGTTCTCCATACGTAATCCCTGCCACTTCCCCCATACTCACGCTACCATATCTCTTTCACAGCACTTTATATGACCTGTGTACATATATTTTATTTCCTTACACAATGAATTTCTACTCTGCTTAGAAAGGGCATTATTCCTTTTTCTATCTTTGAGAAGTTGTACAAAGGAGTTGCCATTTAACAAAACAGTTTATGAACGTAATGCATCTTGATCAATGTCAGCTCTTCCTCCCTCCCAACCCACCCCTTCCCTCGCCTTTCTTAATTTGTAGGATATACATTGAATTCTTGACTTCATTCTCCCCTCCTCCTCTTCATTCATCTACCCTTCTCCCCTTAACCCTACCCCACCCCACTGCTTCAAGTACCCATTTCCTGGTATTTATTTTATTGAACTTTGCCTTTGCCTAAGGAATTACACTATTTGAGTTGCATACTTAATTTTTGTTAGCTAATGGTTGCAAGATGGACATCATATAAGAATAGCCCTTGACTCCCACAATTTCAAACTACTATGATTTCTGTTTTTTAAAAATCCAGCCATAGCCTGGCGCTGGTGGCTCACACCTGTAATCCCAGCTACTCAGGAGGCTGAGATCTGAGGATGTTTGAAGCCAGCCCAGCTGGAAAACTCCCCATGATACTCTTATTCTAATTAACTTCTCAAAAACCAGAAGTGGCACTGTAGCTCAAGTGGGAGAGCACTAGCCTTGAGCACAAATAGGCTCAGGGACAGTACCTAGGCCCTGAATATAAACCCCACAACTGACCAAAAAAAGAAAAAAGAAAAGAAAAGAAAGGAAAGGAAAAGAAAAGAAAATCCAACTGTGGCATGAAGAATGAGAAGATTCAAAAATAAGATAATCCATGCACAGTTTAACCCCTGATGCTAAAGAAGCACTTTAAAAGGGTGAATCTCTACCCTTCCCATCATCCAGGGTCTCAGTTCTACCCCAGATGCAACTTGATGCTTTCTCCAAGAAATAGAAACATTCATGTGTACGTTCCTACCGCACACCACACCGCAACCCCTCCCTGCCCTTTCTATCCAAGTGCAAATGCAAAACAGCATAATACATACTGCCACACAGCTAACCTTTCTTCACTCACAATAAACTAGGTATTGTCTCAAGATTGACATGCATGACGTGTAGGGCGGGATCTGCTGATGGATGTGCAGAAGGTTTCCAAAATTTCCTATTACAGATATCCAGGTGATCTACATCCTTTTGTGATATTGTCTACATAGTACATATTTGTCCAATAAGTGTGTGGAATTTTATGATCAATATTGCCAAATTTTCCTTTGGAGCAATTGTGCCAATTTATACTCCATCAAATAACTTAGTAGGTTCAACTATGTCAACTTGCCAATTTTGCAGGACAAAAAAATGTCAAGCATTGACCTTTTCATATGGCTTACTCTAATAATGTTAATGTAAGAATACTTCTATACGCTTCTCAACGTGTATATTGTCAAACCTTTGGCAAATTTGATAAATGCTCATCCTTCAACTGTGGTTTGCATCTATTATGAATGAGGGTGGATGTGTTTGGTGTGTGATGACTATGTTTTCTTTTCTATGTTTCCCTCCATTTATCCCTCAGCCTGAGAGGAAATGGGAAGGCAGAGGAAAGACCTAGGACATGTACCTATCCCAGACCTATCCCAGCCCACCTGAGCCCCAGTCCATCCTGGAGACTTTTTGAATGCCTATACCCCAGCATCTTTGCAGGAGACTCTAACTGCCTGAGCTCAGGCTGGTCAGGGCCAGGTGAGGCAGCCAAGCCTGGTTTCCAGCCTTCCTTTCTGAGGTTGACCCGGCCTCCAACCTGCACCATTAGTTTTCAAGAATGTACCCGGCCTCAGGAAGCATGGAGCAGAGACGTCCTAGTCTCCAGCTCAGCCTTCCACCGGCACTCAGCAGAACTGCATTCTAGTTTCTAGGGTCCAGTGACTCAGTGGATTGGTGTCATTTGCTGGCTCTGGGGGAGGAGTGTGGTAACTTCAGATCTTATGGAAATAGCTTCATTTAGCAAATACCAAGAATAGGTTCCAGCATAGTTGTACCATGCTTCAAGTGCCAGCATGGCTGGTATTGAAGAGAACTGCAGGTGACTTATCCACCAAGCTTTGGAGAATAAAGGTAAAAGGAGTTTGCCCTTCATGAGGCATCTCCAATCCATAATGGATCTAAAGAGCTTGAACTCAACACCTGGGGCTTTTCCTTCCATTCCATTCCCTTCCTTTTCCCTCTCCCTCTCCCTTTCCCTTTCTCTTTCCTTCCATTCCTTCTCTTTTCTTGGTACTTTGTAATTTCCTTTTCTTGAAGCCCTATACAGCATTTAAAACCTTAGCCTAGTGTAATGAAATCACCCCTTATCTGAGACCTACTAGATGTCCTAGACAAAGCCACAGAAGTCCTTGCCCCTCACTTCATACTAGAATCACTGTGGGGCTTTAAAAGAGACCCCACCACTTCTGAAGTGATGTGCCAGTATTCTCAAATCTCCCAGGAGACACAGAGCCAAGGTGAGAACCACGAGCACATTTCCTTCTAAGGGTTTACAATGATGCAAGCCTTCTCCTCGCTCCTGCAGACTCTCATACATGTAGAAGGCTCAGCCCTCAGATCTGCATTAAGGCTGAGCCAGCCTTCAGTCACAGCTTTATCTCTTTGTTCCTGTACTCCCTCGGCTGGCCACTTAACTCCTCGGAGCTCAACCACACAGGGTGGCAGTGAGGAATAAATAGATAAGGCATGCGAAGCCAGAAGTACAGTGCTTGGCATGGGATCAGCGGCCAATCAATGAATCAAGAAGGGCTAGCGGGCATGAGTTATTCTTTAAGAGTAATAAAGACACCGAAGGCAAGAGGCAAGACAAGCTGCAATCTAAGAAGATGCCTGAAAGAACACAGCAGAGGACCGGTAATCACGATGCATAAAGAAAAGGACACCATGATACAAAAAAAAAATGGACAGACTTAGGCAAGCCAGACAGAGAATGCTGTAACAGAATGCCTGATGCTGGGCAGCATGCAAAGAGCAAAGGCTTTTTGTCTCATGATTCTGCTGGTTGGATAGTCTAGATAGGGTGATCGCGGCATATAGTGAGGGCCGCGTGGCTATGTCACAGCATGGTTGTGCAGAGACACTTGTGAGGAAAAAATAACGAGAGAGACCCAAGAAAGCCAAACTCAATTTATAACAATCCATCCCCATGGAAACGAATCCAGTCCCACAGGACCCGATAGAAATCCCTTCCAGTGGTAGTGCCTGCCCCCTACCATGATCTAACCCCTTTCCCCTGCACCCCACCTCTTAACATCACTATACTGGGGACTGGGCTTTCTAGTAAAAACCTCAGCCAAATCATAGCAGTGTACAAAAATAATGTGAGATTCAGCCTCATTAGAAATCAGAGAATTACAAATGAAACCAAGAAAATAATGCATCATCAGGTTACCCAAGATAGAACTTCAGCAAAGAAAAGAAATGAACCTGAATGTCCCAACGTAAGTGCAGCCTCAAAATATACTGGTGGTGAGAAAAGCCTGATGGGAAGACACCACAGGCTACAGAAGCGAGCGCTTGTCTGTGTTTTATTTGAAAATGCTGCTACTCACGGTACATGTGGCTCAACATAGCAAAGCCTGGCCCAGAGAGCCTTTCAGACGCCTCCTAACTGACCAGTAAGCTTAGTTTGCATTATGAAATGCTTTGAAGTATTTTTTTTTTTGGTCGGTCATTGGGCTTGAACTCTGTGCCTGAACACTGTCCCTCAGCTCTTCAGCTCAAGGCTAGTGTTCTACCACTTGAGACACTGAGCCACTTCTAGCTTTCTAAGTGGTTTATTAGAGATAGAGTCTCACGGACTTTCCTGCCCAGGCTGGTTTTGAACCGCGATCCTCAGATCTCAGCCTCCTGAATACCTAGGATTACAGGCATGAGCCAATGGCGCCTGGCTGATGTATATTTTTTAAAAGTTCATTTTTGTTCATTGTAGATAATTATAATGACGTTTATCAATATGAAGGGAAGTGTAGTTTGGTTTTTTGTTTGTTTTTTGTTGTTTCTTTGTCAGTTATGGGGCTTGAACTCTTGGCCTGGGTGCTGTCCCTGAGCTCTTCAGCTCAAGGCTAGTGCTCTGCCACTTGAGCCACAGTACCATTTCCCATGTTCTGGTGTTTAATTGGAGATAAGCGTCTCATGGACTTTCCTGCCTGGGATAGCTTTGAACTGTGATCCTCAGATCTCAGCTTCCTGAGTAGCGAGGATTACAGACGTGAGCCACTGGTGCCTGGCTTGGGGTTTTTGTTTGTTTGTTTTTGATTCAAATTTAAAAGAGAAAGATAAAAATTGACCAGTTCCAGGGAACCTGGGAAGGCTTCTCAGAAACCTAGTGGATGAGCTTTACCTTTGGCATTCAGGACCTGTGGCAGGTGAAAAGTGACTCAAATGGCCTTCGATGGCTGACTCCTCCCAGGGTGGCCCTACACCTCCGCTTGGCTTCCAGTCTTACTTCTCTGCCACCATTGCCGAGATACGTATGGCAGGAACATCCCTCCAGCTCCTCTTGAGGACCACATCATTGCCCTGAACCCCATGACGCTGCTGATGCAGACCTGTGCATCACCCTGCTGGACCAGTGGAGACCCCTGTCGTGTAGACCACCTGATTTCACGGCACTAACTTGCCCAGGCCCTGGCTGCATACTTCCCTAATGATTTTACTGACTCAAGACATTAACAGCAACCAAGGTATGATCAAAGAAAGTCATCCATCAGGAATCAGCCATCTTCATCGCAGCTTCTCAGCCTCCACAGGGTGGGGGGAAGCTATTTCATATATGTGCTGTTAAGTGAATAACAAATTGCTTTCTCTTTTTACTAGCTTTTAATGCTAATAGTGCCATTTATTCCTGACCTTCAGAAATAGGAGATATTTTAAATGACAACATAAAAAAAGAGTTCT